ATTATGTGATCAGTGATTGTTCCTTTGGTTTTGCTCGATATAATGGTCCTGTAACTGTTGCGCTTGGCCAGAAAGTCAGACTGGATAGACGTGCGCTTACAGCTGTCCCCGCTGGAGCCGCAGAGGAGAGAGTTCGAGGTGATGCGGGCGCGATCATCGTTGAAGACGACGTCGCTACAGTCTCTAAGGAACGCCTGCGAGGTGAGGAACACTATATCTTTGAACAAAACCAACCTACCTGGCGGGCCGAAACACGAAGGAAAGAGAAGGGCAGCGTGGTTGCAGATCCCGCTCCGCACAAGGATCGCCATTAGACGACTGCGCAGACAGTTTGGTCATGTGCCTCGTCGTGTTCTCGTGCAGCTATTGAGAATTTCCAGGATGTCATCGGACTGCATTAAAGCCGCCGAGAATTATCGATGTGAATCTTGCGAACATCGCAAACGGCTAGCTCAGACTCACAAGGTTGCCTTGCCCAAGAAGTTCTGCTTCAACCATGAAATTGGCATCGACTGTCTAGGGGTGAAGGACAGCGGTGGGGAGCGTTATACCTCCTTGAACATAGTGTGCCAGGGTGCGACATTTCAGCGTGTGGTCTTTGTCAAGCATGGAGGTGGTACGCCATCTTCGAGAGCATGCCTCGCTGCGCTTCAGCAACGCTGGTGTGCATGGGCAGGTGAGCCCAAAAGAACGGTGTTGGACCGTGGACTGCACAGCAGAGGAGTATTTCTGCAATGGGTTCAGAGTCAAGGTATCGACCCCCGCGACGCCGGAGCCGAGTCTCCCGAGCAGATAGGCCGCGCCGACAGACATGGTGGACTTTGTAAAGAATATCTTCAAGAAGGTGGTACATGACAAGAATGTTTCCAGACTCGATGAAGTCATCTCTACTGCATCAGAAGTCGACAACACGAAGAATGAGATGTCACGAGTCGGCGGATTTGCGCTTGCTCAGTCGGTGCTCGGAAAGATGCCTCGTGTCCCAGGGAGTCAATTCGACGACGAGGAAGCTTTCGACCTAGGAGTGCTTGCGAATGTTGCAGAGGACGGGGCCGACGAGTTTTCTCGCCAGGCTGCTATCCGGGCGTCTGTCAGAAAAGCATTCGCAGAACACGACGTCGGGAATAGGACGGCGCGGGCCGCTCTCCGAAAGGCAGCGTCACTAGCTGGAGAGCATCAGGTAGGTGATGTAGTATGGTTTCGCAGGAGGCCGACCGACGGCGATGTTACCGCTAAGTGGAGTACTGGTTCTCGTATCATTGGACTCGCTGGCAAGAGCGCATGGGTTATCACAGAGGGTGTATCTGTCTGCGTGGCTGTCGACAGGCTTCGACCTGGTTCAGCGGCGGAAGCGTTGGCTTACCAATATCTCTAAGCACCATGGTGGTGGTGTTGAGAGGTGTGCACCTCCAGACGGGCAACAGCAGTCATTCGTGGACGAGAGACGTGAGCTGACAGAACCACCGGCGCAAGAGCATTCTGCGCAAGAACATCCTATGGCGACGGGGGAGCTGCTGGGTATCCCAGGAGACCCCGAGTTCATAGAGGAAGCATTTCGCCACATGGAAGAAGATGAACTGTCAGATGGAATGATCGTTCCTGTGCCGCCCGCGTCGTGGTCGTCACAGGTGATTCGAAGGCCCCTTCAGAGGTCGTGACTAGACGACGCCCCGCACGGTATACAGAGTCGTAACGAAGTGATGCGCAGAAGGGTCGAGAATGCCGATGGTGGTGCGGGAAGGGTTTCCGATTCTGTCTCGGAGCCAGCTCCCGCGCCAGCGAACCCCCTTCTTGAGGCCATGCGCAGGGCCGGAACATCAGGACCAGGCATGGATCTTCTAGCTCGTGGAGAAGCTTCACTCGCTGTTAAGCCACATGAATCGTCTATCGGATTCTTCAATGAACGCACCGTTCATAAGCCGCAATCTAAGAAGAAGCTAGATAGTGCAAAGAATCTGGTATACCAGCGGGAATCTGAGGACTTTAGTAGCGGTTATCGACTGGCAAGACAAGACGAACGGGGAGAATGGTAGAAGTTCAACGCCGCCGTGCCTATTGATTCCGTGGAGCTGCAAAATCTCCTCGACGAAGGATATCGCATGGTACCTGCGCAATTGATTTAGATTGACAGGAACGAACATCTCCGTGGACCGGGTGAACCTCCGGTTGCACCGCAGTACAAGAGTCGACTTGTCGTGCGTGGAGATCTGGAAGAGTCGTTGGTATCTTTGCGGGTTCACCAACATGCGAATTCGAAGGGCTAAGCTTGATGCTATTATGGGATGCCGGTACGAAGAAGACGCTCAAGTGTGCCGACGTTGCATCTGCGTACTTCCATGGCCAGGACCTCGACCGCTTCATGCCGCTCAAGCCACCGCCCGCCGGACTCGAAGGAGTACTGGATGGTGGAGCACTGATCGCGCGTATGCCTGTCTATGGCACGCGTGACGCAGCACGAGGTTTGTGAGGGGCATTCGCAGAAGTTTTGAAGCCCATGGTCTGAAGGGTAATCGTATCATGGCTGCTTTGTTCAATATTCACAATGACAAGAACGAGATCACGTGTATGTTAGGTACATATGCGGATGACATACTGTGGGCTGCAGATGATGAGAGTCAGAGATTATCCATTCGGTATTAGCAGAGTTTGAAACTCGCGAGATCAAGTCGGATAATTTCCGTTATTGTGATTAAGAAGTTGTTCAAGATGAAGATTTGACGGTTAGTATCACGGCCGGGGGCAATGTTGTGAAGATCGAGGTTGCATCCTATCCTACAGACAGCCCCCGCCACGAGAAATTGCAATGGGGGCGAGACAGCGCAGCTTAGATCAGTCGTAGGTGCTTTGTCATATGTTGCGCGTCAGTGTAAACCTGAGCTATTCTATCGTGTGAGCAGACTGCAGACTGCAGTGCGTCACGCTAAGGTACTTCATCTCAAGGAAGCTAACCGAGTATTAAAAGAAGCAAATCAGTCCGCTGACTGCGGGCTAGCATTCGAAAGTGTAGCTGTTAAGTGGAATCAAGATGTGTTAGTTCTTATTGTTACTGGCGCCAGCTGGGCAGGCGAATGGGGGCATAGTCAAGGGTAGAATCGAGCCTCTCAGGTCACAGTGGGCTAGGTTCAATTGACTCGCAGGGCCTGGATTCATCGAGGGGAACAGTGACCATGTTCACCTTATATGTATATCTAGTAAAGTTATCAAACGAGTGTGTAAATCTACACTACAAGCGGAGACCCTGGCTTGTTTATGGGATGTAGAATTTGGTGTGCGCATTCATACCGCCATCGCAGATGCGCGTGGGGTGCTGTCGCAGGAAAGAAGCTGCAAACCAACTTGGAAGACAAATCAGCCATGTCTATGATACACTTATGGATGACGGATTGCAGCGCCTTGAGGAACATCTCATAGCACCAACAATGGGTACGACAGAAGATGAGCGCTTGAGTATCGATTGAGTAGTTTAAGACAATATCTTTGGACTAATGGAACAGAAGAAATACATATTATACACGCGCGCGCATTTTGTGATAAGGTCCGATGGGTCGATGCAAGTATTATGGCTGTTGATTGCCTGACGAAGAATCTGCCTATAGATTTCCTTGTTACGATCTTACGTACAAGTTCGTATGACGTAACTCCAGACCCTGAATCTACTTTAAGGAAGGTCAAGAATCAACTGGCGAGGGCCAGGATGAGTGCTATCCCATCGGGGAAGTGAGTGACTGAATCCTGGTTGCCTTTGACTTGAGTAATCCCAACATGGGAATACTCCTCTTACTGCCCCTAAAGGCTTACTGCGACCAGCGATGCTGCTCGGTCTGCCGGCTAGCTCGTGATAAAAAATTCACGGGTGTGAGATAGTGCGTGTGTCACGTGTGTATATGCACCACTCGCTGCCGTTTGACCTCAAAGGGTCCCTTTTTGCCATTGGGGTCCGCAAGATCGGCCTCCCCACGGAGACTTCTGGGAAGGCATCGCAGATGACAGGAGGGCCCGCGGGGGGCCTGAGTGCCGGGCTCAGCAGGCCGCGGCCGCGCCCTGCCCCGTATGGGCGCACCGCCGAGGTGGGCCTGGCCACGGTCGGTGTCCGGGGGCGGACGAGGGGGTTGGTTCGATTATCTTCAGGACGTGGGTTAACCCGAGCGTGTGCTTACTCCGTTCGGTTCCGCCGATAACGCGCAGCCTGTGTCGGCCCTCGTTGCGCCGCCTACTTCGTATTGAAGGGCCCTGGTGGACAAACACGCGGTGACGCGTTCAGAAGATCATCGAGTGGTGGTTGCGGGGTGGGGAAAAGGGGTGCCGCTCTTCGGAGCCAGCTGGGGGTCTGAGGTGGGCCAGCACTGGTTCCGGCGAGCAGGAGCGGGGGGGCGAGGTCCGAGATTCTGGGCTCGAGAGGTTTTTTGCCTTCTTCGACCTGTGGTGGCCGTTGTCGGGCCCGGTGACAGTCAAAGTCGGATCCGGGACGAAAGCAGCATCATATGGACCCCGGGAGGGGCCTGGTGAGCGGTTTTGGTTTATTTTCTCGGGGCAGATCCAGCTCAGATCCCCAGCCGCCTCCAAATTACAGTCAAGACGCTGGAAAAAGGAACAGTTCGGGTTGGAGAGGGGCTTGCTGTTACTTTGGATCCTTCTGTGGTTCCTCCTCTAGTACTGCTCGTGCACCCAGGCACTCTGAGGCCAAAAGGGGGCTTCGTTCCTTATTCAGCGCTCCTTGAACCAGTTGCGTGACTGTGCAAGGCTGCTGCTCGCACCCGGTTTCTGGGCACGGCCCCACGAGTCCTGTGGGTTCCTGGCGCTTCGTTGGCGCCAGGGAGACCAGCTGCGTGGGGTCGCCATGAAGGAGAGGTGTCCTGAGAGGAGCGGGGCCTGGACCCCGGGGCTTTCCCCAGGACCCTTCATCCTGGACAGGTTTTTTGATGGCCCTTGGGCCCGCGTAGGGCCCCGGGGGTTCGGAAGTGGCGAAAAAATCAAGGGGCCCGCTTCTTGCATGCTAAGAGGACCTCCCGCTGATCGTCCAGAAGAACGGCGTGGGCGACGCTCAGCTGCCGTCCGCGTTCACCTGCTTTTCGCAGCTGCTGCTCCCAAGGTGCCCTTTGCCGATGGAGTGCCTCCCTTCCTCTTCTTCTTCTTCTTCTTCTTCTTCCTCCTCCTCCTCCTTCTCCTCCTCCCCTCTCTATCTCCCTCTCTCTCTCCATCCTCCTCCACCTTTCCCTCCCTGTCGTTCTCTCACTCCTCCTGCACTTCCCCCACCTCCAACTATATCTTATATTCCTCCTCCTCGTCCTCCTCCACATCCCCCTCCTGCCCCCTCCGCTCTCTTCCCCTATCCTTGCCTCCCTCCTGGGACCTCGACCCCCTCGACCCCCCCCCCTCCTGAAAATCATCCTCTAGCTGCTGCTGCTCCTCCTCCTCGGCGTTCTCTTTTCCCTCCCATGGTCCTCCCTTCCCTCGCCTCCCGCTTACGTTGGGCCCCCAGAACCTCCTAGAACCTCCGAGGACGTTTTACGGACCCACCCCTGTACTTTCTCCGATTTTCTTTAACTCCTCTCATACCTTTCATCAGCGCTACTGAAGCCAGTCCCCTTTCTTTCTCTTGCTGACACGGCGCGCTCATCTCCACCAGTTGGTCTCGGCGCCCGTAGGTCTACATTGGGCCGTGCATTCTCTTTGGAAGCCAGCCCGCGGACCCCTCCCGACCTCTGGACCCCCCTCCTGTCCAGCTTTTCGTGCAGCGACCAGCCGTGGCCACGAGCGCGTCCCCAGAGGCCCGAGGAAGAATCCCTCCTCCCTCTTCCCCTCCCCCTCCCCCGCCCCCACCCCCTCTTCCTCTTCCTTCTCCTCCTCCCTCCTCCCTCCCCCATCCTCTTCCTCCTCCTCCTCCCCCATCCTCTTCCTCCTCCTCCTCCTCCTCCTCCTCCTCCTCCTCACCCTCCTCCTCCTCCTCCCCCTCCTCCTCCTTCTCCGCCTCCTCCTCCTCCTCCTCCTCCTCCTCCTCCCACTCCTCCTCCTGCCTCGAAGAGGCGGACATCTCCTGGGTGAAGGCCCGAGGGGAAGCTTTACTCCGAGCCTCGCCTGAAGACTGTGGCGAGTCGGACCTGGAGGCTACATATGAGGCAAATCATGACTCATGGCTTCGGGCCCGTCCCTAACAACCTCCTCCCTTCCTCCCCCTCCTCCCCCTCCTCTCCTCCTCCTCCTCCTCCTCCTCCTCCTCCTCCTCCTCCTCCTCCTCCTCGTCCTCCTCGTCCTCCTCCCCCTCCTTCTCCTCCTCTTCCTGCTTCTCCTCCTCCTGTTCCACAACTGCACACTATGAATTCTACTCTCCTCTTTCCCCTCATGTCGTCAGGAAGATGTCCCGCCCCCCTTCGCGCATGGTCTTTTACGCAGGAATCCCAGGAACTTTTGCTTCGGGTCCTTCATACTGTTGCTCCCGCTACAGCGCTGGCCTCATTTTCGGGCTTCCGCTCGTTCCGAATCGTGCTCCCGCTGCAGCCCTGGACTCATTTCCGCGCTTCCGCTCGTTCCGAATCGTGCTCCCGCTGCAGCGCTGGACTCATTTCCGCGCTTCCGCTCGTTCCGAATCGTGCTCCCGCTGCAGCGCTGGCGTCTTTATTTCCAGTGCCATGCCACGGCATGGTTTTCAGTCCATCCAAACAGGCTCAATTTTATAGAACATGCCCTCCGAACATAAAACCAGCATTACCCCAGTGCGACCCTACCTAGGAGTTGGAGCCCCTAGGAAAGCAGCATTAGTAGTAACGGTAAACGCCGTCCTCCTCCTTCTCCTCATCGTAGTAGTTGCCTTTGCTTTTGCTTGTTTTTGCTTTTGCTTGGTTTTGCTTTTGCTTTGCCTTCGCACACACACACACGCATGTTTTTGCATTCGCTCCCCAGGGGGGCTCTCCGATCGTACTGTTGCACACTGCTTTTGCTTTGCCTTTCCTTTGCTTTGCTTTTGCTTTTGCTTTGCTTTGCTTTGCGTTGCTAGTGCTTTGCTATGCTGTTGCTGTTGCTGTAGCTTAGTTACGCTAGGCTAAGCTAAGCCTTGTGCTTTTGCTTTGCTTTTGCTTTGCTTTTGCTTGGTTTTGCATTTGCTTTTGTAGTGACCTTGGCCTCTACGTGCTCGTCGTGGGACGCTTGGTAGGGACCTCGGCCACTAGTGCATGCCGTTGGACGCTTGGTAGGGACCTCGGCCACTACGTGCAAGTCGTGGGACGTCTTGTAGGGACCTCGGCCTCCAGTGCTGGTCGTGGGACGCTTTGTAGTGACCTCGGCCTCTACGTGCTCGTCGTGGGACGCTTGGTAGGGACCTTGGCCACTAGTGCATGTCGTTGGACGCTTGGTATGGACCTCGGCCACTACGTGCAAGTCGTGGGACGTTTTGTAGGGACCTCGGCCTCTCCTTTGCCTTTCCTTTGCTTTGTTTTTACATTTGCTTTGCTTTGCTTTGCGTTGCTTGTGCTTTGCTTTGCTGTTGCTGCTGTTGCTTTGCCTTTGCTTTGCTGCTATGCTATGCTACGCTATGCTATGCTGCACTATGCGATGCTATGCTATGCTATGCTATGCTATGCTATGCTGCGCTATGCTGCGCTATGCTATGCTACGCTAGGCTGCGCTATGTTATGCTAGGCTATGTTATGTTATGCTATGCTGCGCTATGCTATGCTATGCTGTGCCATGCTGCGCTATGCTATGCTATGCTATGCTATGCTGCGCTATGCTATGCTATGCTGGGCTATGACATGCTAAGCTAAGCTTTGCTTTGCTAAGCTAAGCTAAGCTAAGCTAAGCTAAGCTACAGCTAAGTGAAGTTAAACTGAAGCTAAGCAAAGCTAAGCTAAGCTAAGCTAAGATGAGATATGCAGAGCTAAGGTCAGGGGGCGCAACTGGGGGAACCGCGGGGCGGGGACCGGGGGAACCGCCCAGGGCGAGGAACACTGCCCGGCCCCGTTAAGCTAATAGAGTTAGAACCATCTAGGCAGAGCCTAGGTAGGGAATAATTGATTACACATTCGGTGCCGATTCGTTGTTTTTTTGGTCCGCAGAAGCCCCCCACCACTTTGGGGCGTCGCCGCGCCATGCTATGTCATACTACGCGTTGATATTCAACGCCATGCTGTGACATGTATTGCTATGCCATGCTAGGACATCCGACTGTGCGAATATATGACGCGAGCGCACCTAGCTTGTCCTCCTCCCCCTCCTCCCCCTCCTTCCCCCTTCTCCCCCTCCATCTCCCTCCCCCTCCCCCTCCCCCTCCCCGTCCTCCTTCTCCCCCTCCCCCTCCACAGTTACACAATATGAATACTACTCCCACCTCTCCCCTGACTCCGTCGGGAAGATGTTCGCCCCCCCCTCCGCGTACTGTTCTTTTACACACAGGATTCCTGCGAGTTGGTCTTTCATATGTGTTTTTGCAAATATGTTTCTTTCGGGTCCTTCATAATGTTGCTCCCGCTACAGCGTTGGCCTCATTTTTGGGTTTACGCTCGTTCCGAATCGTGCTCACGCTGCAGCGCTGGCCTCATTTCCACGCTTCCGCTCGGTCCGAATCGTGCTCCCGTTGCAGCGCTGGCCTCATTTCCAGTGCCATGCCATGACATGCAATGCAATGCTATGGTGTGTTCCGCTGGGCGATGCCATGCCTTCAGCTGCAATGCTATGGTATGCAGTGCTTGACTACGCAGTGCCACGCCGTGCAATGTTGTGCTACGCGTTGATATTCAACGCCATGCTATGCCACTTCATGCTATGCCATGCTACGACATCCGACTGCGCGAATCGAGAGGATATGTACGCCATGGTAAGGGATGGGAGGGAGGGGTAGGACGTCAGAAAAGACGCTTGCGCAACTAGCTTGCCATCCTCCCCCTCCCCCCCTCCCCCTCCCCCCTCCTTACCCCTTCGTGCTTTCTTTTGGGACCTCGCGCCCTTTCGGGGCGCGCGCGAGGCCAACCTAGAGTCCTAGAGTCCTAGAGTCCTCTCTTCCCCTTCCCTCTCCCCTTCCCCCTCCCCATCCTCCTCTCTTTCTCTCCCTTCCCTTCCCACATCCTCTTCCCCTTACCCTCCCCCTCTCCTTCCCCCGCCTCTCCCCCCACTCTCCCCCTCGCCCCCCCGAGGTACTCGTCGAGGGAGCGCCTGCGCTCCCGACTGCTCACCGCCGTGGCCAACAGCGAGGGGTTCGGCCTGCGGTGAGGCCGCGGCCGGTCGGAACGCGCGGCTGGCCCTCAAGGGCGGAGGGGCAGGAGGATCTTCCTTCTTTCTCCCCCTCCTCTGCCTCATCCTACTCCTCCGCTTCCTCCTCCTCCTCAGCCTCCTCCACCGCCTCCTCCGCCTCCTCCGCCTTCTCCGCCTCCTCCTCCGCCTCCTCCTCCTCCGCCTCCTCCTCCTTCGCCTCCTCCGCCCCCTCCTCCGCCTCCTTCTCCGCCTCCTCCTCCTCTGCCTCCTCTTCCTCCGTTTCCTCCGTCCCTCTTCCTTGTGGATAAATCCTCCCCGTCGCACCCCGAGTTTGGTCGGTAGGGCGGGCCAGGCGTTTCGTCGGAGACTCCCCCACCAATTATGATTCTGAAGCTTAGAGTTTGCAACCGTTTCACGGATGGAGGGCGGGCCGTTTTCAAAATGTGGCCCCCGCCCCAGTGCCGCGCGCATTGCTCTTAGCAATGTGTAAGAGTTTCACGGATGGGGGGCGTGCCGTTTTCAAAATGTGGCTCTCGCTTAAGCGCCGCGCTCACCTCGTCTTACAGTATGGAAGAGCTTTACAGATGGGGGTTGGGCCGTTTTCACAATGTGGCAATCGCATTCGTGCCGCGCGCATTATATATATGTATATATATGTATATGTACATATATGTGTATATATATATATGTATTGAAGTCTGTAAGAGTTTCACGGATGGTAGGCGGTTCCTTTTCAAAGTATGGTTCTCGCTTTCGCGCCGTGCACATTCTTCGTAACAGTTTACAGCAGTTTCAAAGTTCGTATCGTAGACGTACCAGAGATGGTGCCTCGGCGCGATCTGGGATTGTCCGGACCTTGTTACGTTGAGTCGCGGTCTTGAATCCAGTCCTAGGAACGATTTTCAGCTTCGAAGTGCCAGGGCTGGTGTTTTGGCATGGTTGCAGATTTTCTGACGGTTGTCTTCCAACTAATGGAGCACTTCCCGTCGTGAAATTACACATTCGCAGGGAACTGTGAAGAGGGATCTTGGTGGGAGGATTTATTGCAACATCGTTGATGAGTCTTATGTTTACACTCCTCCTCCTCCGCCTCCTCCGCCAAGCCCTTCTGGCCCAGGGGTAAGGCTTCGGGCGTGCCAGGCAGACACGGTGTACCTTCGTTTTTTTGGCCACAGCGTCATGCTCATTGTAGCGAGAGTCCTCTTTTGGTGGGGCTCCATGGCCGAGTTGTTCCTGCGAGCCCTCTGCTACACTCCCATGTGGGCGACGGGGGACCATCTATGTGAAGTCTTGGGCGGGACCCGAAATTATGACTTGGTCATGTTGGCGGGGACGACGTCGAGCACGCAACTACGCGGCGCCCAGGCTCTGCGGCGACGTGCGGGTGGGCGGATGCAGTGCAAGGCTTCCTATGGCGAGTCTCCGTATTCCAACAAGAGTTGCGGGGCTCCGATTTGGGGAAATCCTACACTGGCCCCTGGTCGGGCTATAGCTGTTCAAGTGAAACATGGTCCTGCTGATATTCTTAGGCTTACGCCACACCGCCGACCCCTTGTTTATGCCAATCTGGGGGTAGTAGAAGCTGCGAAGGGGTGAAAAGGCGAGTGATATTTGTTTGGTGTCTGTTCGCCGCCACCGCCAGAGGGTCTCGGGCAGTTCCGCGGGGAGGTCCGAGCGGACAGCGACACTGCGAGTTTTGGAGCCACTCGGGGGCCGTTTCGGAGCCTCTGGGGTGCTTCTTGGGGGTTCCTTGGGGCGTCTGGGCGGCCTCGTGAGGGCCTCTGGGGGCCTCTTGGGGCACTCTTGGGGCCCCCTGGGGCTCCTGGGGGCAGAAAGCTAGAGTTTCAACATGTTTGGTCGCCCTCTTGGGCCCCTCGTGGTGCCGTCTTGGAGCCCTCTTGGGCCGTCTTGGGGACCTCTTGGGCCGTGTTGGGGCCGTCTTGGGCCGTCTGGAGGCCGTCTTGGGGGCCTCTTGGGCCATCTTGGGGCTGTCTTTGGGGCCTCTTTGGCCGTCTTGGAGCGTCGGGAAGCCGGAAAGGCGGAAAAGCAAAAAACATCGAAAAACACCATGGAAAATCAACAATTTTAGACTCTTGGGGCCCTCTTGGGAGGCTTGTTTGGGACCTCGGGGGCCGTCTTGGAGACCTCTTGGCCCGTCTTGGGGCCATCTTGGGCGTCTTGGAGGGGTCGTTTGGCGTCTCGGAGCCTTCGTGGGCCGTCTTGGAGGCCTCTTGGGGGCTTCTTGGCCCGTCTTGAGGCCCTCTTGGGCCCGGAAAAGCCCTGGAACCGCTCGTCCCGGCCGTGCTGCGCTCGTCCTGGCCCCCTCCCCGCCTCCAAATCGGCCCTCTTGGGCCGTCTTGAGGACCTCTTGGGCCGTCTTGGGGCCGTCCTGGGCCGTCTGGAGGCCGTCTTGGGGGCCTCTTGGGCCATCTTGGGGCTATCTTTGGGGCCTCGTCGCGCGTCTTGGAGCGTTGGGAAGCCGGAAAGGCGGAAAAGCAAAAAACGTCGAAGAACACCATGGAAAATCAACAATTTTAGACTCTTGGGGCCTTCTTGGGAGACTTGTATGGGACCTCGGGGGCCGCCTTGGAGACCTCTTGGCCCGTCTTGGGGCCATCTTGGGCGTCTTGGAGACGTCGTTTGGCGTCTACGGGCTTTTTTTGGGCTTGTTGGGGGCCTCTTGGGGGCTTCTTGGAGCCTCTTGGAGGCCTCTTGGGGCCTCCTTGGCGCCTTTTGGGGCGGAAGGCTAGAATTTTAGGTTCGTGGTCCCCGTCTGGAGCCTTTCTTGGGCCCCTCTGTGGGCCCTCTTGGACTGTCTGAAGGCCCTCTTGAGCCGTTTTGAGGCGCTCTTGGGCCGTGTTGGGGCCCACTTGGGAGCCTCTCGGGTCGTCTTGATGCCGTCTTGGGGGCTTCTTTCGCCGTCTTGGAGCGTCGGAAGCCCGAAAAAACGCGAAGGCCAAAAACGTTGAAAAAACCAATGGAAATCGACGATTTTGGCCTCTTGGGGCCATCTTGGGAGGCGTCTTGGAAGCTTCTTGGGGCGTCTTGGAGGCATCTGGGGCCATCTGGAGGCCATCTTGACCGTCTTCGAGTGTTTTTTCGGCGACTCGGGGCCCTCTTGGACCGTCTGCAGAGCTTCTTGGGAGCCTCTTCGCTCGTTTGCGGCCCCCCCAGCAGACTCTCTGGAGCGGATGACCCCCCCCGGACCGCGCCGGCGGATCCCGGGGAATCCGGCCGGACCCCCCCCCCCCCCCCTCCAAAACGACCGGACCAGGCTCCGGGGGGAGGGGTTTGGGGAGGGGGGAAGCATCTCACACGCCGATGACCCCAAGGGGTCGGCGGATTTGTGCTATTATCTGCTTGAACAACCCGCCGCTGACCTTTAAGTCTCGGAAAAACGTGCTGGGTACCATAAGGCGGTTGAGGTCCTGATTCCTGGCGGCGCCGGGTAAAATTCCGTGCCCCCCGTTGACCGACTGAACTGAATTGCACGGAATTGCATTGGACAGACTGAACTGGAGGGGCACTTTGGCAACACATTTCAACTCGCCCGGGCGCACCCGCAACCGCAACCAGGCGACACGTTTCAACCCGCCTGCGGGCGCAACCGCAGCCGCAAGCAGGCGACACATTTCAATCCGCCGGCGGGCGCAATCCGCAGCCGCAACCAGGCGACACATTTAAGCAGCCCCACGGGCGCAAGCGCAACCGCAACCATGCGACACATTTCAACCCGCCCGCGGCCGCGACCGCAATCGCAACCGCAACCCGGCGACAGATTTCAACCCGCCCGCGGGCGCAATCGCAACCGCAACCGCAACCAGGCGACACATTTCAATCCGCCGGCGGGCGCAACCGCAGCCGCAACCAGGCGACACATTTCAACCCGCCCGCGGGCGCAGCCGCAACCGCAACCGCAATCAGGGGCGACACATTTCAACCCGCCCGCGGGCGCAACCGTAACCTCAACCAGGCGACACATTTCAACCCGCCCGCGGGCGCAACCGCAGCCGCAACCAGGCGACAGATTTCAACCCGCATGCGGGCGCAGCCGCAACCGCAACCGCAATCAGGGGCGACACATTTCAACCCGCCCGCGGGCGCAACCGTAACCTCAACCAGGCGACACATTTCAACCCGCCCGCGGGCGCAACCGCAGCCGCAACCAGGCGACAGATTTCAACCCGCATGCGGGCGCAACCGCAACGGCAACCGCAACCAGGCGACACATTTCAACCCGCCCGCGGGCGCAACTGCAGCCGCATTCAGGCGACAGATTTCAACTCGCCCGCGGGCGCAGCCGCAACCGCGACCGCAACCAGGCGACACATTTTCAGATTGCCCGCGGGCGCAATCGCAACTGCAGCCGCAACCAGGCGACAGATTTCAACCCGCCCGCGGGCGCAACCGCAAGCGCAACCGCATCCAGGCGACACATGTCAACCGTCCTGCGAGCGCAATCGCAGCCACAACCGCAACCAGGCGACACATTTCAACCCGCCCGCGGGCGCAACTGCAGCCGCAACCAGGCGACAGATTTCAACCCGCATGCGGGCGCAACCGCAACGGCAACCGCAACCAGGCGACAGATTTCAATCCGCCCGCGGGCGCAACTGCAGCCGCAACCAGGCGACAGATTTCAACCCGCCCGCGGGCGCAGCCGCAAGCGCAACCGCAACCAGGCGACACATTAAAACCCGCCCGCGGGCGCAGCCGCAACCGCAACCGCAACCATACGACAGATTCCAACCCGCGCGCGGGCGCAACCGCAACCGCGACCGCAACCGCGACCGCAACCGCGGCCGCAACCGCGATCGCAACCAGGCGACACATTTTCAGATTGCCCGCGGCCTCAATCGCCTGAGGAGCATGAAGTGCAGAAGCCCGAAGAAGAAGATGATGAGGAGGAGGAGGAGGAGGAGAAGGAGGTAGGAGAAGGAGGTATGAGGTAGGAAGTAAGAGGTAAGAGGTAGGAGGTAGGAGGTAGGAGGTAGGCGGTATGAGGTAGGAGGTAGGGG